CTACTACTACTACTACTACTACTACTACTACTACTACTACTACTACTACTACTACTACTACTACTACTACTACTACTACTACTACTACTACTACTACTACTACTACTACTACTACTACTACTACTACTACTACTACTACTACTACTACTACTACTACTACTACTACTACTACTACTACTACTACTACTACTACTACTACTACTACTACTACTACTACTACTACTACTACTACTACTACTACTACTACTACTACTACTACTACTACTACTACTACTACTACTACTACTACTACTACTACTACTACTACTACTACTACTACTACTACTACTACTACTACTACTACTACTACTACTACTACTACTACTACTACTACTACTACTACTACTACTACTACTACTACTACTACTACTACTACTACTACTACTACTACTACTACTACTACTACTACTACTACTACTACTACTACTACTACTACTACTACTACTACTACTACTACTACTACTACTACTACTACTACTACTACTACTACTACTACTACTACTACTACTACTACTACTACTACTACTACTACTACTACTACTACTACTACTACTACTACTACTACTACTACTACTACTACTACTACTACTACTACTACTACTACTACTACTACTACTACTACTACTACTACTACTACTACTACTACTACTACTACTACTACTACTACTACTACTACTACTACTACTACTACTACTACTACTACTACTACTACTACTACTACTACTACTACTACTACTACTACTACTACTACTACTACTACTACTACTACTACTACTACTACTACTACTACTACTACTACTACTACTACTACTACTACTACTACTACTACTACTACTACTACTACTACTACTACTACTACTACTACTACTACTACTACTACTACTACTACTACTACTACTACTACTACTACTACTACTACTACTACTACTACTACTACTACTACTACTACTACTACTACTACTACTACTACTACTACTACTACTACTACTACTACTACTACTACTACTACTACTACTACTACTACTACTACTACTACTACTACTACTACTACTACTACTACTACTACTACTACTACTACTACTACTACTACTACTACTACTACTACTACTACTACTACTACTACTACTACTACTACTACTACTACTACTACTACTACTACTACTACTACTACTACTACTACTACTACTACTACTACTACTACTACTACTACTACTACTACTACTACTACTACTACTACTACTACTACTACTACTACTACTACTACTACTACTACTACTACTACTACTACTACTACTACTACTACTACTACTACTACTACTACTACTACTACTACTACTACTACTACTACTACTACTACTACTACTACTACTACTACTACTACTACTACTACTACTACTACTACTACTACTACTACTACTACTACTACTACTACTACTACTACTACTACTACTACTACTACTACTACTACTACTACTACTACTACTACTACTACTACTACTACTACTACTACTACTACTACTACTACTACTACTACTACTACTACTACTACTACTACTACTACTACTACTACTACTACTACTACTACTACTACTACTACTACTACTACTACTACTACTACTACTACTACTACTACTACTACTACTACTACTACTACTACTACTACTACTACTACTACTACTACTACTACTACTACTACTACTACTACTACTACTACTACTACTACTACTACTACTACTACTACTACTACTACTACTACTACTACTACTACTACTACTACTACTACTACTACTACTACTACTACTACTACTACTACTACTACTACTACTACTACTACTACTACTACTACTACTACTACTACTACTACTACTACTACTACTACTACTACTACTACTACTACTACTACTACTACTACTACTACTACTACTACTACTACTACTACTACTACTACTACTACTACTACTACTACTACTACTACTACTACTACTACTACTACTACTACTACTACTACTACTACTACTACTACTACTACTACTACTACTACTACTACTACTACTACTACTACTACTACTACTACTACTACTACTACTACTACTACTACTACTACTACTACTACTACTACTACTACTACTACTACTACTACTACTACTACTACTACTACTACTACTACTACTACTACTACTACTACTACTACTACTACTACTACTACTACTACTACTACTACTACTACTACTACTACTACTACTACTACTACTACTACTACTACTACTACTACTACTACTACTACTACTACTACTACTACTACTACTACTACTACTACTACTACTACTACTACTACTACTACTACTACTACTACTACTACTACTACTACTACTACTACTACTACTACTACTACTACTACTACTACTACTACTACTACTACTACTACTACTACTACTACTACTACTACTACTACTACTACTACTACTACTACTACTACTACTACTACTACTACTACTACTACTACTACTACTACTACTACTACTACTACTACTACTACTACTACTACTACTACTACTACTACTACTACTACTACTACTACTACTACTACTACTACTACTACTACTACTACTACTACTACTACTACTACTACTACTACTACTACTACTACTACTACTACTACTACTACTACTACTACTACTACTACTACTACTACTACTACTACTACTACTACTACTACTACTACTACTACTACTACTACTACTACTACTACTACTACTACTACTACTACTACTACTACTACTACTACTACTACTACTACTACTACTACTACTACTACTACTACTACTACTACTACTACTACTACTACTACTACTACTACTACTACTACTACTACTACTACTACTACTACTACTACTACTACTACTACTACTACTACTACTACTACTACTACTACTACTACTACTACTACTACTACTACTACTACTACTACTACTACTACTACTACTACTACTACTACTACTACTACTACTACTACTACTACTACTATACTACTACTACTACTACTACTACTACTACTACTACTACTACTACTACTACTACTACTACTACTACTACTACTACTACTACTACTACTACTACTACTACTACTACTACTACTACTACTACTACTACTACTACTACTACTACTACTACTACTACTACTACTACTACTACTACTACTACTACTACTACTACTACTACTACTACTACTACTACTACTACTACTACTACTACTACTACTACTACTACTACTACTACTACTACTACTACTACTACTACTACTACTACTACTACTACTACTACTACTACTACTACTACTACTACTACTACTACTACTACTACTACTACTACTACTACTACTACTACTACTACTACTACTACTACTACTACTACTACTACTACTACTACTACTACTACTACTACTACTACTACTACTACTACTACTACTACTACTACTACTACTACTACTACTACTACTACTACTACTACTACTACTACTACTACTACTACTACTACTACTACTACTACTACTACTACTACTACTACTACTACTACTACTACTACTACTACTACTACTACTACTACTACTACTACTACTACTACTACTACTACTACTACTACTACTACTACTACTACTACTACTACTACTACTACTACTACTATACTACTACTACTACTACTACTACTACTACTACTACTATACTACTACTACTACTACTACTACTACTACTACTACTACTACTACTACTACTACTACTACTACTACTACTACTACTACTACTACTACTACTACTACTACTACTACTACTACTACTACTACTACTACTACTACTACTACTACTACTACTACTACTACTACTACTACTACTACTACTACTACTACTACTACTACTACTACTACTACTACTACTACTACTACTACTACTACTACTACTACTACTACTACTACTACTACTACTACTACTACTACTACTACTACTACTACTACTACTACTACTACTACTACTACTACTACTACTACTACTACTACTACTACTACTACTACTACTACTACTACTACTACTACTACTACTACTACTACTACTACTACTACTACTACTACTACTACTACTACTACTACTACTACTACTACTACTACTACTACTACTACTACTACTACTACTACTACTACTACTACTACTACTACTACTACTACTACTACTACTACTACTACTACTACTACTACTACTACTACTACTACTACTACTACTACTACTACTACTACTACTACTACTACTACTACTACTACTACTACTACTACTACTACTACTACTACTACTACTACTACTACTACTACTACTACTACTACTACTACTACTACTACTACTACTACTACTACTACTACTACTACTACTACTACTACTACTACTACTACTACTACTACTACTACTACTACTACTACTACTACTACTACTACTACTACTACTACTACTACTACTACTACTACTACTACTACTACTACTACTACTACTACTACTACTACTACTACTACTACTACTACTACTACTACTACTACTACTACTACTACTACTACTACTACTACTACTACTACTACTACTACTACTACTACTACTACTACTACTACTACTACTACTACTACTACTACTACTACTACTACTACTACTACTACTACTACTACTACTACTACTACTACTACTACTACTACTACTACTACTACTACTACTACTACTACTACTACTACTACTACTACTACTACTACTACTACTACTACTACTACTACTACTACTACTACTACTACTACTACTACTACTACTACTACTACTACTACTACTACTACTACTACTACTACTACTACTACTACTACTACTACTACTACTACTACTACTACTACTACTACTACTACTACTACTACTACTACTACTACTACTACTACTACTACTACTACTACTACTACTACTACTACTACTACTACTACTACTACTACTACTACTACTACTACTACTACTACTACTACTACTACTACTACTACTACTACTACTACTACTACTACTACTACTACTACTACTACTACTACTACTACTACTACTACTACTACTACTACTACTACTACTACTACTACTACTACTACTACTACTACTACTACTACTACTACTACTACTACTACTACTACTACTACTACTACTACTACTACTACTACTACTACTACTACTACTACTACTACTACTACTACTACTACTACTACTACTACTACTACTACTACTACTACTACTACTACTACTACTACTACTACTACTACTACTACTACTACTACTACTACTACTACTACTACTACTACTACTACTACTACTACTACTACTACTACTACTACTACTACTACTACTACTACTACTACTACTACTACTACTACTACTACTACTACTACTACTACTACTACTACTACTACTACTACTACTACTACTACTACTACTACTACTACTACTACTACTACTACTACTACTACTACTACTACTACTACTACTACTACTACTACTACTACTACTACTACTACTACTACTACTACTACTACTACTACTACTACTACTACTACTACTACTACTACTACTACTACTACTACTACTACTACTACTACTACTACTACTACTACTACTACTACTACTACTACTACTACTACTACTACTACTACTACTACTACTACTACTACTACTACTACTACTACTACTACTACTACTACTACTACTACTACTACTACTACTACTACTACTACTACTACTACTACTACTACTACTACTACTACTACTACTACTACTACTACTACTACTACTACTACTACTACTACTACTACTACTACTACTACTACTACTACTACTACTACTACTACTACTACTACTACTACTACTACTACTACTACTACTACTACTACTACTACTACTACTACTACTACTACTACTACTACTACTACTACTACTACTACTACTACTACTACTACTACTACTACTACTACTACTACTACTACTACTACTACTACTACTACTACTACTACTACTACTACTACTACTACTACTACTACTACTACTACTACTACTACTACTACTACTACTACTACTACTACTACTACTACTACTACTACTACTACTACTACTACTACTACTACTACTACTACTACTACTACTACTACTACTACTACTACTACTACTACTACTACTACTACTACTACTACTACTACTACTACTACTACTACTACTACTACTACTACTACTACTACTACTACTACTACTACTACTACTACTACTACTACTACTACTACTACTACTACTACTACTACTACTACTACTACTACTACTACTACTACTACTACTACTACTACTACTACTACTACTACTACTACTACTACTACTACTACTACTACTACTACTACTACTACTACTACTACTACTACTACTACTACTACTACTACTACTACTACTACTACTACTACTACTACTACTACTACTACTACTACTACTACTACTACTACTACTACTACTACTACTACTACTACTACTACTACTACTACTACTACTACTACTACTACTACTACTACTACTACTACTACTACTACTACTACTACTACTACTACTACTACTACTACTACTACTACTACTACTACTACTACTACTACTACTACTACTACTACTACTACTACTACTACTACTACTACTACTACTACTACTACTACTACTACTACTACTACTACTACTACTACTACTACTACTACTACTACTACTACTACTACTACTACTACTACTACTACTACTACTACTACTACTACTACTACTACTACTACTACTACTACTACTACTACTACTACTACTACTACTACTACTACTACTACTACTACTACTACTACTACTACTACTACTACTACTACTACTACTACTACTACTACTACTACTACTACTACTACTACTACTACTACTACTACTACTACTACTACTACTACTACTACTACTACTACTACTACTACTACTACTACTACTACTACTACTACTACTACTACTACTACTACTACTACTACTACTACTACTACTACTACTACTACTACTACTACTACTACTACTACTACTACTACTACTACTACTACTACTACTACTACTACTACTACTACTACTACTACTACTACTACTACTACTACTACTACTACTACTACTACTACTACTACTACTACTACTACTACTACTACTACTACTACTACTACTACTACTACTACTACTACTACTACTACTACTACTACTACTACTACTACTACTACTACTACTACTACTACTACTACTACTACTACTACTACTACTACTACTACTACTACTACTACTACTACTACTACTACTACTACTACTACTACTACTACTACTACTACTACTACTACTACTACTACTACTACTACTACTACTACTACTACTACTACTACTACTACTACTACTACTACTACTACTACTACTACTACTACTACTACTACTACTACTACTACTACTACTACTACTACTACTACTACTACTACTACTACTACTACTACTACTACTACTACTACTACTACTATCAATCAGCTACCCCTTGGGGTCACGCCGCCCTCCACTCATAGAACTGAGCGCAAGGTGAGGGGCAGTGGCGCAAACAAAACAGGAAGTACAGCAAAATGAATTGAAAAAAAGGAAATCAAAACAAGCTGCCATATTGATGGAAAGGGACTCACAAACAGAGGAAGGAATTATCACAAACCAGATGAGCAGTCTGCTGTAGGTCCACTATAAGTATAACATGCAACGACTGAAAAAAGGAACAAAATTAATGTGAACATGATGTTCTGTTCAACAATAACGTCTGTACGCGTACTGCTTCGGCCTTCATGCACCAGGGAAGCACAATCTTGAGCTGGAGGGTGGGCACCGGACGTCCCACGAGGGCTCCACAAGACGTACTTTCACGAAACGACGAGGAGTATAGACACACACAAACACACACACACACACACACACACACACTTGTACTTGTTGCTCACTGCCAAAACTGGTCGCGCGGGTTTCACCAGGAGAGGGGAGAGAGACTCAAAAGGAATCTTGGGAAGATGAACCGCCCAACGACCGACACCCCCTAGGCCCTGAAATCTCCAAAACTCTGGGTGGACTTCAAAATGATCCCACTTATGGGCTCACCACACCTCAATAAGTGGGTGAGGACAAGGTGCAGAAAAAGGATTTGCGGCATCAGGGTATCCGTCCCGGGATCCAACTGCAGTTACCCCTGCCCCCAGTGAAGGTAATACTTGCTACTAGTGTGGGTGGCTAAATCAGAGTGGATCTGATATAAGTGTCACTACACACACATGTACACCCACGCACCACACGTACACACACGCACGCGCAGACACGAGTGCTGTGGACCTGAGCTACGCATGACGCTACTGCATAACGTCTTTTACGTAACTTCGGTAATAATTGTCAATGTTGGAATGCGCCCATGCAAGTGCGTTTTTAGGGTACCATTATGTCTGGGAGACAGTTCTCTATTACTATTTGCATAATGCTGTTTTTTATGCTCTGCATGCATAATTGTAGCCAGAATTTCCATCTTTCAGTGAATTTCTTAGAAGTGTATAATAGCAGCAGTGCATTCATATTTTCCCGAAGGAATGTCATGCCCTCACCCTACCATTATGCGTAGGGAGGGCCCGAATATGCTTGTGCATATTTTCGCATATTTTGGTCCTTTTGACACAAGGTCGCATAAAGTAGCAAATCTAGCATATTGTACCAAATGTAGCATATTATTTTGCTACAAGGAGCAACGAATTCGCATAATTATAGGGCAGATTGCGGAAATGGACAAGGAAACTTACCACGGCACGCTCGGTCAGGGAACACTTCCAAACTTAGCCCGGAAGGAAAATGCTCATCCAAACACGGGGCGAAAATTTGACCCGAGAAGAGAGTGTCCGCGACTCAAGATCGCATAAAGTAGCAAATCTAGCATATTGTACCAAATGTGGCATATTTTGCTACAAGGACTCAAGGAGCAAAGAATTCGCATAATTATCACTGATATCAGTTCGTATTTCAAGCATATTTCCAGCATATTTTTCTGCTTTTGTGTGATTTCGAAGCATATTTTTAAGCAAGTGACCAATATGCGAAAAGCATAATATGCGAAATTTTTGAGCATATTTGGGCCCTCCCTAGCCCTATAGCCTAGTGTAGATACATTTTCATCAGCAAAGTGGTTCCCAAGGCAACGCTCGAGGTGTGTGTTCATGAGCCTTATTTTTAAAAGGAGAACACTTCCTCTGTTTCTGATTCATTTTTTCCTTCTTGGGTTGTGCCTGTACTTGTATTTTCCAGCATAAGACTTGTGTAATGATAATTGTCATACCACCAAAAACAAGCGTACGCACAGGTACTTGTAAACACTTTAAAAAAAATTCAAAAGTAGCACGCACATGTATGGTAGTAAGCAAGGAAGTGAGTGGTGTTGCACAGCATAATAGCTGTCTTGGGTATAAAACTTAGAAGAGCAACTGTACTCGTCCAGGTGTATTTTCAATGATAAATGGAACTGCATACATGTATGTGCTACATGATAATAATTGCCACCATGACAGATTGGGGCAAGTAATAGGGAGTAAAGATCATATAAGGCTAGCAATTTGCGAAATGTGCAATTTGTATGGATCCTGCCAAGAGTAACGTACAGACTGAACGTTCTATTTTTTTAATGCACAATTGGAAAATATGACTTGTAACTTCTAATGAAGTGTTGCTAAGGAATAGTACAAAAATGCATGGCAATCAAGGGCACCAGCTTATTTATATGGTAGCTGCGCAAGCTCCAGCAACGGTGCCCATCGTACCTGTACATCTGTCAGTGTCGTAATGTGTGATCAAGGTAAAACTGAACTCAGGTCATTGCTCAACAAACTCAGTGGCTCTTGATGTCTCTCAATAATGATATAACGGGATTTCTAAGTTGATTTCTCCTGGACAGCTCCACACCACGGCATGCCTGCGTGGGAATATCAGCCGCAGGATCAGCAGGAATGTTCAGCTGCAACAGAATCATCAAAGTATGTAGCATTATAATCAAAGACAAAATGATGCTATATGCAGCAAATATTAATTAAACTTCCTCGAACTACAGTAAGTATCGTTTATAAAGTGACCGGATATAATGATATACCGGTTATAGTGATAGAACACGTCAAAATCAAAATCAAATCAGAAAAAATACAGCTAAAATATCACTATATACACTATTATCGGCTATACCGATATATCGCTTATTGTGATGGACTTCAGGAAGCAAACCATAATTATTATCAAATGTACAGGAAAATATCGCATTATAATGATCAAGAGTGATGATCACAAAACAATTGTTTTTTTTTGTGTTGGCCGATTTTCTTCACTGTTTTCTGACCAGACAACATTCGCTCCTTGATCGCATCTTTTTGCTTGGTGATTGTTGAAACGCTCGACTGAGGCACACCAAACTTTTTTCCTACGGCAGACTGAGACACGCTAGGGTTTCTCTCTACGAACTCTACAATCATTCAGCTTTCTTCTCAGTGGAAAGACAAACTCTCTTTTTCGGCGGAGGCTCCATGACCAGACCTTTCACTGGGGAACAACTTGGCAACTAAACAGGAAGGACAGCGAAGCCCAGACTTTCAGGTTAGCTACTGTCACGAATGTCACTCGACGTACTCATGATCTCTTTTTGATCTCGTTGGACACCGAGTAGATTCTACGCGAGTACGGATCCAGCTCAGGCTTTTTTTTGGAGAACACGCTGAAGAAGCAGCCATGCCACATGATGTATCGAAGTACTAGTACATGTACAGTCTGTACTCGTACTGCACTGCCATGCATGCACTGCTCTGTGTCATGCACCGGTACTCAGTCCGCGGAGCATGCATGCACTTTCAGCATGCTTTTTCCAGCGTGTACGCATCATTTCATGTGCAGTCATGTGCCATGTGTCGGTCAAACATGCAAATCGGCTATAGTGATGCACCGGATATAGTGATACATTTTCGAAAATCAAAGGGGCACGTTATATCCGATATTTACTGTACTATCATTCATTGCTTAAATAAAATAATACATAGTCGATGTATACGGATAACTAGTAGTCTACACAATGCTTATGCTGACAAAATGTGTTACAGTCAATCTTAGAACCCCTTGAGCAAACACCAACACCGACCAATGCATTCCTAACACGGAAATGAAAATCTTTCAAGGCCTTACAAGATTGAGATGAATTTCCTCTCGCCTCCGCCAGCTCACACTGTTCGTGGACTCTTCCGCAAGATTCATCGAGATGTGGTGAAGTGGTTTACCATTGAACGCCATGACCACTTCAAGCCTACCGTCATCGCTACATTTGCATTGAAAAAAGTAAAAAATAAATAAAATCTATATCTAGTACGCTGTAAAAAAATCTCAACACTCTTACTGTTTTACTGTACACTTTAGAACATCCAATGCTTTACTCGTAACGAATAGGTTATCATTAACCCTCTGAAACCCAGCATATTTCTAGCACCTTTTCTCCTCTTGTCCTTTGCGAGTTCTCAAATACATGCTTTCATAGGGTGCACTCAGTCTAAGTAACAGGAATGAAATCTACCCAGAGTCGCATGCCCTGAGTGGTTAGAAACAGTAATCATGCACGAAAAATGTCTTGTCATGTTCCACGACTTACGGTTTAATGACGGGGATCTGAAAGATTGCCGTCGGCCTGACGTGACACAGGCCAATTTTCCACTCGCTGAAGACGACTTTCTTGCGTATCAAGTGCGTGCCGTTGCTGCGGACTTCAAAAATGTCCAGTTTTTCATCAGTTTCACATGCGAACACGGCATCATTCTGTTCATGAAAGCCTTGGAGCAGTGTTGACTTCAACGCGAGGGCAAAAGTGAGAACAAGCCGGGATCTGTTCTCTCCTCTCATTTCCGTAGAAACAGTGATGAAGGTTTTCCCTGGAAAAAGAGACAAAATGACAGCCAAAACAGTCATCACATTAGCTTCTCTTTCCACTGCTCATGTACATCTTCAAAGATAACTCTAAACACGTTGACGTTATTGTGTTCTTTCTTGTCTTGATCAGCTGAAAGGTTGTAATGGTATGTTAGGTACTGATTGGTTCTGATAACCTAATCTTAAGGAGGCGCAAGGTCGGCATGCGTTGCAATGTAATAGCAGCAACTGGCCCCGGGTTGCCAATTTGCCATTATTACCAAAGACGAACGGAAAGGTGCATCCTTATCCTCGCTCATCTTCTTGTTCCTGAAAAGAATACGCCGAAAGCCGCGTTTAGTTCGTCCTTCTCTGTAATCAGGAAGCTATTCCTTCAATGAGCAGCAGTCGCCTCGGCGAAGAAAGTTAGCTTCATGAATCCAGTTTTCACTCCTCAGCTTGCTTCAAAGTGCGTTGATCTATAACTCATTCACCTGTTGACCCTTTCGCAGCGCAAGGTATGTTACTGGAGAAGCATTCAGCCATTGTCTTGCAGCATTTTCCAGGGTACGCAGAAGGCTACCGCAGCGGTCCTCGTCGCATTCTGCTCTACAGAGCACGCTATCCCCTTCCCAGCATAGACTGACCGCATTACCGTATTCAGGGTGGCACTCCCAGCGATAGAGCGGAAATCACGAGCAGAACTAACCAATATGGAGATGGGGTTCATCGGTGACTTGTTGCTGAACGTGATCACTCCAGAAGGTGCCTGTATCATCCTCCTCCTCATCATCATCATAGAGAAAGCATCATCATCATCATCATCATCATCATCGTTATCACCAGTACCACCAGTACCATCCTCCCGAGGCAACAACTAGACATAGCGTTGAAGGGTGATGATTGCGAATGACAATGTCACATGCGACTGAAATCATGACTGCTGGCATTGCATCGTCCGTCCAGACACATACACACAATATGATTATTATAATCTATATTTAGCATTCATATTTTCATGTAGATCTACATGGCTGTATAAATATAATGCAGTGAAAAGGCCTACGTACGATATCAAGTCACCAAATCCCTGATGGTGACGGTCACACATCACATCAATATCTATCCATTGAAATAAATCACAGGAATCTAGCTTTCCAGAAAAAAACAGGACCCCAAAAATAAATAATTTATAGTGCAAATGAAAACTTCCACCATTCCACCTCTCTTTTCTCTCACCGGAACATTCTTCCTTCTCACTACTATCGACGCACGGTGAAGTACCTCCTGGATGTGGTATGTCCAAGGCAGGGCAGACGAACGGACTGGATTCCGACTTTGGTGGCGCTGCTCCGTTACACATCGTGTACTGTTGAGAGGTCTTTGCTTCCTCAGCAGACGGTTAGGTTTCGATTCGGCTTGCTGGTGGCAAGGTTCAAAGCGGACTAACCGTCTCAAACTCTGCGCCTTTCCTTTACTACTGCCGTAGACTGCGTAGTTCATGAAGTCCCGGCCTGGTGACTGGTGTGGCAACAATACTAGCCGTGTCCCACTATACTACTATGACTAAGTTTCCGTATGAGCCTTGAGAGCCGATGACAATCAGTCTCTGTTCGTGACTGTACAGTGTACCATGGTGTACGTACGTACAAGGAATATGGAGCATATTTTAGTAGAACAGGCCAGCACTCCAAAAAGTGTCAAAAGAACTCGTGACTTCAGCCTAGTGCCAGTGCACGAGCAGAACGTCGTTGGTTTTTGGCACGGTCGACCACCCTGCATGCCTTTCGCGGATCCAAACAGCACAGCTGGCTTGGTGCCGGTACTAGCGCGGTCACCGATCAGGCCAGGCAGGGCGACCTGCAAGGCTGCAACAAGTGCAAGCTGCACGAACATGTCGAACAGCAACAAAGCCGGCATGGTCATTGGTGGGAAATCCCCCTTGGCAGTACCTAGGCGTGTATAATTCTTGTCCAAAACGGCAAAAGGCAAAACCCAACTGTCAGGGGATCCCCGGGAAACCTGAGTAGTCATCACGCAGACCTATGACTATGAGTCTGACTGTATGACTCTGAGTCTGAGGCTATGCGTGTGCCGCATCAAAATAACAAAAAATTTAATAATTTTGTGACAGGAGCGATCATCTAATTCTTGATGAGGCCACAAGCGTTTCGATACGATACTCGATAGCCTGCCGTCTGTTTGTGTTACACACTCTATGTAGTAATGTAGTGGGCCGGTACTTACGGTTAGTAGAATCTACAGTACAGTACAATGATTATGTAGATCTACATGACTGTAGTACTGAGTACTACTAGTACTAGTACACTGTACCTGAAGTAAGCCTTGTAAAAAAATTCATGTTGATCGCAGAACGGGTGCGAGCGCTGAGCGTCACTGCGTGTAGCGATCCTGCACTAGAAAAGCGAATCGCTCGCGGCCTGCTCGACATCTTTTTCCCATTTCCCTCCAGGTGCAAGGAGAGCGAATCCACGAGAGAGTCTGAAACAAGCTACGAATCCACCATCGAAGTATTCTTGCACAGAGAACAGCTCCTGGCTGACTAAACGGATAGAATCCGATCGTAACTGTAAGTACCGGTAACAGCTGTGTGCAGTCTACGACTCACGAGTATGAGTCACCATGGACCACGGTCACTAGTTGGTTTATAATATTGGCTGGAAGTATTGTATTCCTTCTTGCGTAGCAATGATAGCGCATTGTTATTTAACACACATCCTTCCTTCCTTCGCCCACTGCCACGATTGGCTATGTGTCCCCAAACAAGGAGTGCTGGCTTCGGGACGCGGCATGAGGCCCTGCGAGTCCGGCGGGACGTGAACGGCTGTTTCACTGTTTGTTAACACCCCCCCCCCCCCCCACACACACACACACACACACACACACACACACACACACACACACACACACATATACACACACATACACACACATATACACGCACATATACACGCACATACACACACACATGCGCGCACGCGCACACACACACACACACACACACACACACACGTACACACGCGCACACACAGAATACAAAAGACTTCCACCTTGAATCGCGAACATCGCCATTGCCGAAGGCAATGATAGCGAATGGACAGTCTTCCCTCACAGCCTTGAAGAAATAATTTTTAAAATCGTATCCACGAGTCTGTAAATGATGGAGTGAACTCCCATAAAACGTGCAAAGGAGCACACGTAGTATCGTACATACAGTTTTGAAGATGATACTAGTACTAGTAGTAGTAGTAGCAGGTAAAAAGGCAGAGGACACACAGACACTGACACAGTGTGGTGTTGTCTTCAAACAAGCATAGCAAGGCTTGCAAGATGCTTGAACGGTACATACAGTCATGCACAGTACACATGGTACATGTAGGGAATGATTATGTACATGACATACATGTCGGGATATTCATGAAAAGACACGGAACCAATGCACCTCCACTAGTCTAAAGAAGTAAAGAGCTTGCCCATGTCTTATCTTTGCTGCAATCAAGGCATGGTCAGTCGCAAGCCACAAGACTTTCGAAGGGCCATGCATAACATATCCCCATACCATCTACATGTACATCACATCGTTCCACCGCTGCACCACTGCACTGGCACTACCACCAGGGAGGTTTTATTCGGCGTCGAAGCCTGATATCACAACTTCTTGGCAACGCGTGGTTACTTGGCACTAGCACTTTGAACTGACCAATAACCGATAGGCTGGGTGAAGATTAGGTCATGACTACGTCATTAATCATGATCGATATGACGCGGCGCGGCGGTGTGCCCCTTTTTCTTGACAGTCTCACTGTCTCTCACGTCTCAGTCTGTGTACGTGACTGTGACAAACGTTCTTCGACTACTCTACGGTTCTAGTTCTTTGCCATTCTCGCGTGTTCCTAGATCCTGCATGCACTGACCCCAGTCGTAGACTACTCCCCAGCCGGCCTGCCCAGGCGCCCCATCCAGCCCCCCGGCAGCGCGCAGCGCAGTGCATGCAGTAACAGTGCAGACTAGACCATGCATGCATAGACCATGGGAGACCGTTACTAGCGTTAGCCTGCAAGTCCGCTACGTCACCACCCCGTAGTGCGGAAAAGCACGGCTAAAATGCCTGATGATCTTTTGTAGAATAGAAAGAGGACTGGGGTCGAAATGTTTCACAGTCTGTGACGAAGGTTGTTGACGGCGGTTCAGGTGAGGGGAGCTCTCGAATGTTTGTTCGCTGTGTGTTACGGCCAGTACCAGTACTGGCAGTAGTAGATCTACTGGATAGACATAAATGTAGTTCCTGTGTTATCGATAGTCCATAGAGGATCCGTGTTACCAGATTACTGTGTCTTGAAAGGCTTGAGAAGTAGGTGGGCGAAGGCCCAAACGTCTGAGTGTAGCCTTCCGCTTATTGTTATGGATTCCTATCACGATATCATCAAAAATAATGGCCCCTCGCTAGTCTAGAGCGCAGGTACAATGATTTGACGCTCAGCATTAATAATATGGTTTCATTGAGCACAGGTTATAATGATCACAGTCACACTGTGAGCGCCGTGTGGCGCGTACCGGGTATGCTTGGTGAAAAATTTATGACAATGAAATCGAGCTGCCTAGTAATCCAGGGTAAAGGAGGTAGCAATGGCTGGGCGACCCACTGAAGTCCGTAGTAGACTAGTCGTGGCGGGAAAGAAATGATACTTATTAGCTCCTAGACATTTTGAACATCTTTTTCCTTTTCGTTCGTTGGATGACGATGTTCGAAGTAATAGTTACTCTGTTGTGCGACCTGAGGACAGTGAAGCAGGAAGGGTTTTGTCAAAATGGATAGATACCCTACAAAGCTGACCTACTAATATCCCGCGTCCAAGATTTTTATTATACTTCATGTCTTATGTCGATCCGTCTTCGTGTACATCTAGATCCCATTGTCTTCGATGCCGTTATTTTACTTCAATACAATGTCATGTATATGTACTGAAGTGTGCATAAATATGTCCATTTTGTTTTTTCTGTTCAACGCAGAAAAGAATTAAAAAGCGGCTCTGCAAGATGACGGGAAGGTGATGGAGGAAGTTAGTAGTTCACCATCTAGCTTGGCCACTCGGCGTGCACCACGTCCCTACCGGCAAGAGGGTTCAAGTCGGAGCGTAGGCCCCATGCTCAGATGCTCGTCACATAGCCCGCTGTACCAGCTGGTAAGTCCCCATGAACATGCACAGCTGAATCGTTTCTTGAACCGTGATGAGTTGGCATAGTTCCAGTAGCAGTCCTGACTCCAGTAGAGCCAGACCTCGTTTATCCGATCCTCGTTTATCGGGATCCCTCGCCATCCGGTAGAAAATTGTTGGTTACCGATTTACAGCACATGCCATGCACATATACAGTATGTGTGTTCGATTATCCGGTTCTCTCGCCTATCCGGATATTTTTCTGGAAAACGGATGCAGTGTGCGGTTATGCGATGTCTGACTGTAGTATGATGGAGATTGGGCAGTGGAGTCAAATGGTCTCGGTCAGAGGAACCTGCAATGCATAGCGCATCAGGTATAACACTCACTGTGTTCTAGCCACAGCTCTTAGCGTGACGCAGCACCCTCCTGCTCTGAGCGCCCCTCTTTGAAAAAGTGCCCCCTCCCCCCCCCCCCCCCTGACTCATTGGTTGTTTTTGTGGGTTTTTTCCATGACATTCAATTAAAATGCAGTCGATAGTCACAACTAGAGAGTTCATAAAGGCACATTTGTCTGGGTTGACGTTGGGGCACTTTGCAATTTTAGAAAATGGACGAAATGGGTTACGTGGTGTCTGTTTCCCATGCCCGCCCTCCTACTATTTTGACCTTGCTAGAACCCTGGATATCACCAATTAAACTAGCATTCACAGTGACACTGTACCACACTCCGATAATTACACCACTGGCGTTGCATTTGTTCAACACCTTTCTAAAACTGGAGGGAATTTGACCCTGGTGAGTTCGTCTGGAGCTTCTTTGTGTCCTTTGGACACTCGGTGAACTGATGACGGGGCATGCACGCAGAGTACATTTAAATTCCAGGCCTATAATCGTAATACAAAGCTGTTGCTGTGTACCTATCCCCTGTTGAAAATTCTTCCAATTTGCGCGAGACGGCTTGATTGGGAATATTGGTGAACTTCCTAGGACAAAGACCATTAAATTATGATACAGTGCCCAATACTCCTTGGACCTTTCACCTCTAATTTTTCTTCTTCCACCTGAATTTCCCTATAGATACGCCCTGCTCACACAATAGTTAAAGGGGAAGTATACCCTAAAATCAAATTTTCACCAGTTGTAGTCTTCGGGGTGCTGAGTCGAATGGTCTTGGTCCGAGGAAGCTGATACGCTCCCTTCCTCCTTTATTCCCAATCGAACTCGCGCACTTCCACCGAAACTGGGTGACTGCGCCCTACTAGATGGGGATTTGTATGCAAAATGTCACTAAAAGCGCCATTTCGTTCTTATAAAAGCACGGATGACCGCCATTGGCCCATAGGTTGTAGTCTTTTGGACGCTGAGTCGACTGGTTTTGGTCCGAAAAGGCTGCGATGCAGCGTTCCTCCCTTATTCCCAATCGAACATGGTCGAACAAGCGGTCACGTGCTCCTGCGTACACCAGTCACCTGGTCACCGTGCCTGCAGGGTACAACTTACTAGCCTGTTTGACCTTTTTTGGGTGCAGTCCTGTCACTCGAGTTGAACTCGAGTTGAACCTTGGTGTGAAAGTTGTCGCCTGCTGGCGCGGTGACCAGGTGATTTGGGCACCCAGGAGCACGTGACCGCTTGTTCAACCATGTTCGATTGGGAATAAAAGAGGAACGCTGCATCGCAGCCTTTTCGGACCAAAACCAGTCGACTCAGCGTCCAAAAGACTACAACATATGGGCCAATCGCGGTCATCCGTGCTTTTATAAGAACGAAATGGCGCTTTTAGTGACATTTTGCATACAAATCCCCATCTAGTAGGGCGCAGTCACCCAGTTTCGGTGGAAGTGCGCGAGTTCGATTGGGATTCAAGTAGGAAGGGAGCGTCGCAGCTTCCTCGGACCAAGACCATTCGACTCAGCACCCAGAAGACTACAACTGGTGAAAATTTGATTTGAGGGTATACTTCCCCTTTAAGGCACCTGTTAGTTATGGCATGATGTTTTGTTTTCCCGTGTCTTCCGTTCAGCATAATCCTTTACCCACAAGATGGCTGCACGTTTTATTGAGCCCACCATCAGAAGCGAACAATACACAGCTCATGTTGATAATAGGATCTGATGAGGCCAGCCGTCCGACGCATGTTCCAAGGTTCTATAGGGATGTTGACATCCTGGCTTTTGAGGACCTTTGTCACTGGCAGTGGTTGATGGTTTTAGGGATTTCAGCTCCTGCTGCAGATGACGAGGTAGGTCTATTGTCTTTGCAATGCAAGAACAGTTTTGATTTTTGTTCATTTGCTTGATTTATCTCTAAGAACAATCTGATACCCAACATGCAATCTGATGCCAACATGCAACTGCTACAAGAGAGGAGCAAAATACTCAATCTGCGGACTGAACTGGTTCGTCCTTTGTCATCTCAGATTGAATACTTGGTCCGCCAAGTTAAAATTGGCGCTTATCTTCTCACTTGGCTTTTCGGTGTTCTGCCTGTGTCACACGGCATGGAACCACCGATTCACCATCCGAACATAACCATTGACCATTGCATCCGACGACATGGCAGCACAAACCATCACAGAAGTTGCGATCGGTTCGTCTGAGTCTTTTTGACGGAGCTGCCGCCGAAGAACACTTCCGTCAGTGCAAGAAAGCACTGCAACCTCCGCTCGAGTCCGTAAAATAGGTCAGGATGTTCGCATTTCAGAGCGATGGAGAATACAGTTTCTGTCTGCTTCCAGCTGTCTGATGGCAAGGATTGTTTACCCCGGGGAGGTATAGAAAAGCTGAAAAAGCACTTCGCCGCGAGCTTGAATTTCAGTGCTTGCACAGTACAGCGCCTAGTGAAGGGCTATCACCAGCAAATCGCTGTTGAAGAAACTGCAGCTCATGTCGACATCTCCAGAAAGCGCCACCAATCCGGCGGACCCACTTTGAAGCTCACAGAGGACAGGGCAAAGGAGCTATTCAAAATAAACACCAAGTCCTGAGGGAAACACTCGTGCAAAGGACTTTCGGGAAATTAGCTGAAAAGCCTGGTGCACGGCGTTAGGACTTAGGTGCAGTACGCACAGGTGCTACATCAAGCGGAAACTATCACTGCGCTGCATGTACAAGCACGCGTGGGTGCTGATCAGCAAGTACGACAAGCGCAAGAGGCGATTTGAAAAAAGGACACTGATATGCCTTTTTGTCTCAAACAAAGTCGCGTTATTGCGACGAACGGGGATAACACTTACAGCCGACATGTGGGCAGTCTCACTCAGCTTCTGATCGGCAAGGTGACAGGCACGCACTGCCTTTGAGCGTGATTCGAGACGAGGAGAAGTGGAACAGGCTATGGAACGTGCAGCAGCTGTCCGGATCGAACGTTTTGAGTGGCGAGGAGGATGTGTAACTTGCTTGAATTTTCGACTGAGTTGCTTACTGACATGTAAATAACCATGTACATAGTGCTTTGTGATCGTGGCATGCTTCAAATATTCGTATCTCCTTCCTTAGACAAGTGTGAAGATAAGCGCCAATTTTAACTGGGCGGACCAAGTATATGTATCTATTATTGAACGATTAAAAAAACGTTGTAACGATACCAATGGATTTGTGTGAAATGCAGTGCTCTCTTGAGTGTAGGCAGGTTGCCTGCAAACAATTCAAGTATAATGAAGCTGCGTGAAGCGTCCTTCAAAATTTTGATTAAAAAAGAGGTCAATATATGAAATATAGAATGAGTAAAAGACCGAGGCGAAGCCGAGGGTTTTACGAGGTCTATTTTTCGTATATTGACTGATTATGAGGGCAGTAATAGATTTATCACGACATAGCATACCTAAACCGTTTTAGCTGTGTTTATTGGAAGAAGGGAATACTACTGTAATAGTACATAGTACACTCGGACGTCTCTTATCTGGGCACCTTGGGACCGGGCACTGCCCGTATCTCAGATTTGCCGTATCTCAGGATAACTCATCTACCATGTATCAGACAATAATTTACCTTCAATTTTTTGCATAGCGAATTTGCTACGCATAATCAAACTTCAATAGCGATTTTTTTACTGCTTATTTCCCTTAGTGGTTGATGTGTATGGTGACGTGACGTCATGCAAACCGCTTTGCCACGGGTCAGGGAAACCCTGCCCGTGAGCTCAGATTTCGTTTGAGTTTCTGGAAGAAGTTAGATGTTTGTCCCAGGAATCCCTGTGTTGTCTGAGAGTGAGAGTTGGACACGCAGAGCGTGAGGCGAACATAACAGTGGTGTATATGGAGATAACGTTATATAAACCACTAAGGGAGGGCATGCCTAAGACTGTGGGTAAGTGGTCCCGTCCACCGCAAAGAGGGCTCAACAGCGCTGGGGTGCACTGGAGCTAGTACACAATGGAAGCGGTCCTCACCAAGAAAACACAATCCGTTGCTACTCCAAGTTTCTTGAGTTTTTCAATCTTCAGGCAACTTTTCTAACTAAAGCAGGGCTGTCAGGGCCACTAAAGATATACACAACCACACAGCAAGGCGCACAAAAAAGAAAGCGTGAAGCGTGAAGAGTGAAGAGTTGCTGCTAGGTGTAAGCAGTGTAAAATATTGATATCAATTGTCCATTACTGTAACAAGCGCTGAATGGAGCGCGTAAATCTGGAGTTCACTAGCGCATGCCTGGCGTCAGGGGGTGCAAGGCCATTACGGTGCTATATTTGGCGTTAATCATTGACACAACAATAATAGTGCAGTATGTCTGGTTCCAACTCTGAGTTTCATGAAATGAATCAATCATCAGGCAATAGAAACAAAACTGATACAGGGCAACTAGATCACTACAGGTTATATACCCAATCACACAGCAAGCGCAAAAGAAGGCACTAAGTATGAGGTGAGGATATTTCGCGCTAAAAAAGCAGGCTTCAGGTGGCAATGCTTAGGGCTATGCACTTGTACTGTGTGCAGGTGTTGGATATGGTGTCAGGTAATCCGCTGGCCGCTTATTCATTGCAATATGTAGGGGCAGCATCGGCGAATACGCCGCTGTCGGCAGATATGCTTGAGACACGTCGAGTGATCATATCAGGGATGTTCCGTAGTATGGATGGTGGGTGATTGGACATGGCGTTGACGAAGAGAGGTGCGTCTCCAGGTTTACGATACGGCTGGAATTTCCCAGTGTCGAGGCTGAGTGTCTAGGAAATTCACTGTCGAAAGATTAACGTCGATAGTGATTTTTAGATCATACTGCTTGAATACTTCGATAATGGACTTCCTCGTGCGGTCGACAACTGGCCCTGGTGCATTTTTCAGCACGGCAAGGCCGTCGTCTCTTTAAAGTCCAATTCCGGCCTCATCGACGTGCACAGACAACTTGCTCAATAGGAAAGCACCGTCGAGCTCACATATCTATGCTCCATCGTACGATCCCATCGCCACGTCGAAGTTGCATTGTGCGTTGTTCTTTAGCCATGGACGGCCGTCCTGAAACAGAAGTAACCTACGGGAGTGCATGATGATGTCGATGTCACTTTGGGTCAGTGCGGCAAACTGCTCAGCAAATGTCAGTGCAGACCGGAGGAGAGGCTCCGTGAGGCTTGGATAAAAGTCAACAACGTCAAAGCAGATGAAGGAGTGGCTCTGCTTATTAGGTATGGCCTGGAACCACTTGAGCACAGCCGCGGTGCTCTTCTAGAGGTTCATGTTCTGACGTTCCACGATGCTCCTGACCACCTTGTCGAGGATCCCCTTGCTGAGTCGACCCATGTCAGGCTTGGCAGGATTTATCAATCGGCAGGGAAGGCTGCTCTCGAACCTTGGTTTATGATCCTTCATAGTAATAAAGGCCTTTGCTTTGGGTAGGGTCTCCATTCTATCATCGAGCTTAGCCTTGCGTGATAGATCCCTAGCCTCGTTATTAATCTCGTCGTAGGTAGATTCAGGTGCTAGCTGGTAGTGCTTAGTAGTGTTGTCTCGCAGCAGCTTCTCATACAGGTCGGTCTTGACCAGATAAGTATTTCTTGTTTAATCCGCGCGGACGATGATGTCATCGGTAGAGTTGAAGTTCTTGGAGTCTTCAGGCCGCCGTCAGGCGAAATTACTGGTCAGTCGGCGACACGCATTTTTCACAAAAATTTGCGTTTCACCTGCTGGGAGAGTATGCGTGTACTCGAGTCTCATCCTGAGCACGTTTTTTTCTTTCTTTTTTTCAGCTCCAGTATAGCTGTATTTTTCATTGCAAAGCCCTCCTCGATTGATGTGTTCGTTGTTCAAACGAAGTGGACATTCAATCATGAAGGCAGAGGAGATAGGAGCCTGATTGGAGTTTCTCGTGGCATAGGACGGCCACACAGAGACACTTTGGGATTTTCTGAATATAAAATACCGTACGCACGATGCTGAGATCAATTTGTGCGATATCAAATTGTTTGTGATCTACCACATCGAGCAGAACGGGATCCAAACACAAGCTTACCGACGGTTAGGCTGCCGACCTGACTGGACAAATGATCCCTGGCTTCACCAGACGCCAGAAGTCGGACACCATGTCCTTTGCCGCGACGTCCATCTCCAAAAAGAACTCCATCTTCGTCGTGAAAAGGCTTGAAATACTCAATTTTCAACCGAGATTCGCAGTCTCACCCTTTCTCAGATCGAATCATTTTTTGTTGTAGCAGTTGCAGGGCAGATCCCTGCCACTACTTCAACAGAAGATGGCTCCAAAGCATGCCTGGAACAAGCCATATCGAGGTTGCAAGCCACCCCTCTCAGCACTTTTTTTGAAGAAATTCGAAATTTCAGTGGCGGAAGATATACTATGAAGAGAATTTCAAAAAGTATGTTTCGCGGAGCGATCGCTCAACCTACGTCATTCAAACTTTGCAGGATGGTTCAGACGTACATGCTAGGCATGGAACCACAGAAGATGATATCATAGCTGACACACAGAGTCACACACACAGCAGATTCGTGTGCACAGATACTAAATTAGTGGACGTCGTCATCTTCTTCCCGCTGATCTCAAATGTACTATGACGTGCTATTTCGCCTGACGGCATACAGTAACACGGGAACTTTAATGTCAGCACACAGGATTTATGCTGTCCTCAGTGTCCAAACAATATTCCAGCCGCCCGTTCTAAAAAACTGATACAATAAAACCTGTAACTAAAGGCCGCCGTGACTAGCGACCAGCCTGGTACTACCGACCACTTCGCCAACAACGGACGGTCTCACATTCAAAATGCACTATGACTAGCGACTACCTGCTGAACACGACCAGCGACCGCCTTTTCTTGTCCCAAAGACGATTTTCACCCATAACTAGCGACCGCGAAATCAAATATTGCTCGAAGCTCCTTCTTGAAATTTTGCTGATTTTCCATTGTCCTGAAAGGAATCTTTCGATACTACAGCCGAACAAATGAACGCAGGTCATTTTGACTGTGGAGTCGGGCCAACGCGAATCCCGCGAATTACGAGAGAGCTTGGAAGCTCAGGGCCCTGCGCTATGCTTTTTTGCCTTGATGACCTAGACAAAAAAAAGCATAGGGATGTTTTCTTTAAAAAAATCCTTTTTTTAAAACCTGGGATTCGAACCCGCACTATCGCGCGCCCTGCATGCAGCCCCCGATACACTTCGCATACATACTAATTCTTCCAAGTTGTTTCACATCGTGATCTTGCATTTGAAAGCCCTATTTGAATATGCATTGTGGCCAGCCATCTTTGATGGCACGGTACGGTAGGGAATAGGTACGGGACAGGTACGATCGAGGGTAATACGACACCGTCTAGCTGCCCGCAATATTCAAATAGGGCTTTCAAACGCAAGATTAACGTGAAGCAACATGGAAGAATGGGTATGAATGCGAAGTGTATGGGGGAATGCATGTAGGGCGATAGTGCGGGTTCGAATCCCAGGATATGCCTGAAAAAAAGGAGAATTGAAAAATGTATAACATCCTATGCTTTTTTGCCGTCAGATACGGATGGCGCCAGGCGTGACACAAACAAACAAACAAACAAACAAACACACAAACAAACAAATACCAAATTAAAGCTGTGTGGACCCTGGCTAGCGCCAGACGTTACTGAAGTAACGTCTTCTGCATAGCTACGGGAATTATTATTATTAGTCGGTGTGGACTGCACTACACCTGTCAAAATGTCAAGCACTGTCAAGATTAAGCATGATAGGAAATGTCTTGGAGAGCGCATCGGAGGCGCACTCTGATCGATGTTACTACTCGGAGGAGAAACGAATACTGAGCGGCTCTTTCACCCCAGTCATACAGCTACAGACGAATCGACGATGGCATCAAGGAATCCAGAAACAAAGCAGCACCGCAAGGTCCTGATGCTGAAGGATCGCGTTCAAGCAATCGAGAAGTCACAACAAGGACAGTCGGTACGATTGATCGCATAAACAAATTCGAAGCCCAGCGCGAAACGAAATTTCTACAGAGAACGTTTGACTGCTGGCTTCAGAAGTAGCAGCTGAATTTGATGTCTGCAAAAAATTAATCTTCTCTCTCTCTCTGTCTCTCTCTTTCTCTCCAAGTGTTGTTTGACCTGAAATAAGAATGGTATTGCGCAAGTCCTGGGGAATTGTATTAGCTGCATTTTTACATACAAACCGTATTTTCTCTAATAAGAGCCCGGGGTTCTTATTTTTTAGTGACAGCTCTACCCGCGCTACTATTAGAGACTGGGCTATTATTAGAGACTGGGTTCTTATTTTTTCAATTGTCAACTATCAAGCCAACTCCAGTCTATACAGGCATAAATTGACCATATCAAGACTGATTTTTCAACCCTAAACTCAGAAATATTGTCAAAACAGATGTTTCACATTAGCATTGACGCCTGGAAGGAAGCGGTAAACCGAAAACGTCCTTACAAATATGTTCTTGGCATGTTCTACTGCTGTTTTATATGCAGTCAATATACTTATTGCATTCTCCAATTGTGACCCGCGCTACTATTAAAGACTGTGCTCTTATTATTTCAAACCACCCTCACCCCGGGTCATTATTGGAGACTGGGCTATTATTGGAGACCTGGGCTTTTATTAGAGAAAATTCGGTATCATATAATGGGATCCATATACCGTATATTCTCTATTATAAGCGCCGTGCTTATATTTTTTCAACACCCCTCTACCCCGTGCTTATATTGGAGACCGCGCTTATATTGGAGACCGTGCTTATATTTTTTCAACCAATACATCCATACAGAGCAAGAAGAAATACATGCTAGATATCATGCATGCAGCATTGATTCCACCAAGACCGTGCTAGTAATAGAGACTGTGTTTATAATGTTTCGAAGGGTGCTCACAGTGTGCTAGTATTAGAGACCGTGCTAGTAATGGAGACCTGTGCTTATAATAGAGAATATACGGTATTATGGTCATGCAGTGCAAACCTCTAACTAAAGACCACCTGCTACTAAAGACTGCTTTTGCTGGCACCAAGGGGTGGTCAGTAGTCACAGGTTTTACTGTATATGTGTTGACATATGAGGATTACCGTATTTCCCCGAATATAAGTCGCATCTTTTTACACTAAAATTCAAGAGTAAAAAGGCGGTGCGACTTACAATCGAGCATGACTTACAACTGAAGTCAATTTTCAAAACAATACGGCTCAAACCTGAAAATGGGGGTGCGACTTACAATCGGAGTCGACTTATAATCGGGGAAATACGGTATGAACGAGGTCTGTAGTGCCAGCCTGAATGTTCTTACTGTAAACTTCCTTGAAGTATCATGCTGTTGTGGAATGCTTGTATGGGTTATATTGAAAAATGAAAATGCAGTCTTTGGTTTATTTGCTGTGTATTCTTTTGTAATTCCCTTTTTCCGTTACTTGCAGTGTCTTCTACTAAAGTTTGACGCACCAACCCTTCGTTACTCGGAGGAAGACCCATTACGTGTCTTTAGCGGAAGTGCAGCGTGGCCTTGCGTGTTGGCTGCAGGCGAACAGCCATACGTTAAGTTTGATGGCCCTCTGCAGGAACAGAGGTCCTTGTTTACAATAACGCCAGCTGAAGATGGTGAGATCCCAACTCCTGAAACTTGCCTGGTTACAATGAAATGCCTAGCATTTACACACCCCATATTGGTTTAACCTAATTTAATGGCCTTAGTGAATCCAAACATATCCAGCTCCCAGTTTGTTCAGTATTGCGGCGGTGTAGAGGCCAGTGTAGTATGCCGGGACTAACCACTTGTCAATCTATGTAGCGTGACTTGACAGTGGTGGAGGCATTCAACAGCGGGAAAGTTGCCAGTAGTATGATGCATATGAACTGTATTTCTTTCACCCTCAGAAATGTTCACCAGTTGTAGTCTTCGGGGTGCTGAGTCGAATGGACGTGGTCCGAGGAAGCTGAGACGCTCCCTTCCTCCTTTATTCCCAATCGAACTCGCGCGCTTCCACCGAAACTGGGTGACCGCGCCCTACTAGATAGGGATTTGTATGCAAAAAGTCACTATAAACGCCGTTTTGTTCTTATAAAAGCACGGATGACCGCGATTGGTATTTATGTTGTAGTCTTTTGGACGCTGAGTCGACTGGTTTTGGTCCGAAAAGGCTGCGATGCAGCGTTCAGCCCTTATTCTCAATCGAACACGGTTGAGTAAGCGGTCACGTGCTCATGCGTACTCCAGTCGCCTGGTCACCGTGCCTGCAGGCTGCAATTTTCACACCAAGGTTCAACTCAAAGGTTCAAAGCAGGGAGTCGTAAGAGGCTTTTACGACTCCCTGGTTCAAAGGTTCAACTCCAGTGGCAGGCACGCACCCAAACAGGCTGTAATATGGGGTTTCGGTGGACGTGTGGGAGTTCGATTGGAAATAAAGGAGGAAGGGAGCGTCTCAGCTTCCTCGGACCAAGACCATTCGACTCAGCACCCAGAAGACTACAACTGATGAAAATTTGATCTAAGGGTATTTTTCCCCTTTTAAGTATGACTATCACCATGCATGGCCATGCGATCACGAGGAAATTGACACAAGTAATGTGAACCGTAGGAAATGCAGCTTGTACATCAAAGCTGTGGCAAAGCTTTGGGTTACAGACACGTCATTTTCTTCAAAATTTATGTATGAATAACACCTTCAACTGATGAATACGAATTATGATAAGCTAATGTTTCTCTTTTTTGTCCTTTCCACCTTTCATCACTGCAGGTTCCTTGAAGGGGTCAACCCATCAATTTTTATTGGCTGCGACCATGAAGATGCGAACTGCCATGATTGATGTAGGAGAAATCGCCGGTGAGGTGAGAACAGTGTACGCAGTTTACGTGCACGCCTCTTGTTCTTTTGTCCACGGATACAGGAATCGCTATGCGGCTGTCTAACTTCTTATATAGGTTCTTCATGGTACACAAAGTTTACCAGGGTCCGCACCACTCCTTGAATTCCTTGAAAGTCCTTGAATGTCAAAGCCGGATTTGAAAGTGCTTGAATATCCTTGAATTTTCGTGTGGGTGCTTGAATTTTTGAAAAAAGTGTGTTTTTCCTTGATTTTGGGTTTGAATGCGGTAGATCTACTCACGTTCATGCAGTAGGTCTACGCGCACTGCTGGGTACCCGTAACCGGTACCGTAGTCCGTAGATCTAGTACCAAGAGTGGATCCACTCTTGGTAGTACTGATAGGGATCTCAGCGCGTGAGCTGCGCAGCCTGTTTGCGCAGGTGAGATTTTCGATCCCAAACGCGTCCAGTGCAGAAACCCTGAAAAATAACATTTTTTTCGAAATAAATCAAGTTGAAGAAGACGGTAGAAATGGCTGAATATTGCGTCCAGGAAAGCACGTTCTACGGCCATTTCCAAGCTACCTATCTCCCAGGCACTCTCTCAGAGGAACTATGGAGGGTCAAAGAGCACAATAGTTCACTCTTGGACGCAGCGTGAACACCTCTTCTTCTGAGCGCGATGTCTTCTCTCTAAGTGATAATGGCGGCGATGTTCCAACCAACGGTTAGCCCACCAATTAATGTCCTTGAATGTCCTTGAAAAAATGGGGTTTGGGGCCCTTGAAAACCCTTGAATAATATTTTCATGACTTGGTGCGAACCCTGGTTTACTCTAAGTCCTGAAAGTGCTTTTACACCGCAAGTGTCTATGATACAGGTTGATCTATCTTCTTTTTGTTTCTAATTTCTAGCTGAGCAGTGCCTGATGGCTCAGTATCCTTTTTGAAATTGATACTTCCTCCGTTAACAAAAACTTCGTGATGGAATTTCGAGGGGCTGATTTGGGCACAAACTGCCTTGAAATGAGTCGCAATCAATTTCTTGGCCTTCCCTGGCATGCCATGACAGAGATACGATGCAAGGAAGGCGAACTTTCACAACAAGCCTAGCGGAATCGATGGTTGCGCTGTGGAAACATAGGTGATGACAGTCATGGCGAGCGAAACTGAAATACCACTTCTCCGAGGGGATATTGCGCTGCTTGGCCTCTCTACCACTTTAGCACTGAGTACGTTGGAGAGTGATAGAGAGCGATAAAACGGAGCAGCGAGCCCACACAATGAGTGAGTGAACAAGGAGCTGCTCCGATCGCACGGCTCAATGAAAATAATTCTGAACTCAAGTTCTTGTTCAACCTGTGCAAAGCCCAGATTCGAATGCTGTTGACCATGCATTCTTTCAGAAGTCTGCAGTCCGATGCGAGTCTCGTGGCTAAAGAAAGTCGACTGGACTTGCTAGCCGCTGCCGTTCAGTGCTGGTATCCATTAGAGAAAATGGAATCAGTTTGGCTGTGCCTTTACTCCTCGTTTCGCGGAGTTCTGGAGAGCGAAGATGAAACCAGGGAGTCGTAAAATATTTTTCACGACTCCCTGGTGGAAACAAGTAATCGCAATCGCGGCGGATCACGCAGCTTGAAAGCAAACTTACTTGAACGACGGCGACATCAAGCGGAGTGTGATCAAAGAAGCCGAGGCAAGGCTGAAACGAGCTGAACAACGATTCGAGAGAGATGACGTCTCGCGTACAGCAGATGACGACTCGCGTGCAGCAGATTACGACAGCGACGCAGGTCAAAAATGAATCGAGCGAAAGCGACGCAAACTGAACTCTCTGATCATTCCGCCAACAGTTTCTCTTGTAAAGACGCTGTACATAGGCTTACTCACCTTCGTCCAGTGATTTGCAGTCGATACAAACTGTTCTTGACCTGTTCTAAGCGTTTTCATATCCATCAAAATCCATCACGAAGTTTTTGTTAACGGAGGAAGTAAGTACCCTGTACCCTCTGCCGGCATCTTTGTTGTACTGTCACGTCCCTGAACGTGACTACTGCTGCCTGATAGTCCTGTGACAGCAGGATCTACCTAGTGAGCAGCTCTGTGCTGAGCTGTCACGCCCTTTTGGGACAATGTGGTTTGGCCAGTGTCTTGTCCCACGTGCTTAGCATGTAGGTTGAGCGACACGCGCTTTCCCACATAGGTGACATGCCTTCTTGGCACGACATGTCATGTGATCCAAGGCCGGAACCTGGTCAGGTAGGTTCTCGCGTTGTACGTTTCCTGGAAGTTCTTCACTTCCTGGAAATGTGACCCCAGGCTTTGTGCAAAACCACGTCACTACGACGTTCTACAGGTTTCCACGATGCCTCGGCGCTTCGTGCAAAGAGCCAAGACTAATATGACATTGTATAACAAGAGCTAAGTGCAAGACAGGAGACGTGTGCAAGAACCAAAACTGTCACCGCAGTGACCGCACGAGAGGTCAGAGTATCACGCAAGCAAGACCAAGAATGCAGCAGAACTTACCATAAGAAGCCGCTGAACTATGGCACGTTGGGTGAGCGGGCTCCCCAACGTGACCCTCATATACTCACATTGTACTCTGACGTGGGTGAGCGGGCTCCCCACGTCCCAATTTGGTCTTTCTTCTCTCGATGTCTTTCTTTCTCTTTCTTCTCGAATGATCACCGTACGTATATTCTGCATTTCTGCTGACTGGCTGCGCACATTCCGGTTTGACTTGTTCTGCTATTTCCTGGAATTACCTCGCAATGATCATGCCATATATCTCTGAAACACCCTATAAAAGAAGCTCTCATTCTCTCTTTTACTTCAGTTCTAGTCTAGTCTAGTCTAGTCTAGTCTAGCAGTCGAGACTCGGTCTCAGCTCTCTGTCTTCGTTTACTTTGAGCTCGGATTTGATACTACTCACAACGTAAAACTAACAGTCTCTGTCTGTTGATCGTGTGGGGTTGAACTTGGACCAAGCCAGCTATATTGGTTGGCCCCTGGGTTGTGTTGGGCTTGTCGTGAGGCCACACGTCTATATTCAGTCGCCGCTCGTAGTGATTTCGGGGTCCGGTCACTCTGAGCCGGGGATGCGACATTTGGTGCTGTGACCAGGATGGTCTAAGTTCTCCTCACTCCGTAACTGCAACGACGCGATGTCCACAGCAGTCTTTCGTGAACAACCTTGTCTCTGATGGCAGGTTCTTGGCGATAGACGTGGCAGAGCAACAGCAGTGTTGGACGCTCCAACTTTGTACGAAGAAAACTCTGAGTGCGTTTCTCTTTCGTATTCAGCACTGGCTTTCGTTCCGTATCTCGTGTTCCTGTAGCGCTGCAGTGCGAGTTCGTAGTGCACGACGAGCTTGCTTTGCTGCGGACTACATGGCGGACACCAAGGTGCGAAATTTATTCCCAGTTGCACGATCGATCGAGGAGTTGTTTGCATTCAGGCAGTTCTCAAGTACGAGTGCAGTGCGCGTTGTTCAGCTTCAGATATGGAAGGGTTCGTGAACCCGTGTAGATCTACCATGTGTACGCACATGAGCCGTAAACAGGGCTTGGGTCCTCTTTACGGAGCGTTGTGAAAGTAGTCACTACGACTGGATCACGGAGTAGTGCAGTGCAGTTTTTCAAGTTTCGACAAGAAAACGCCACTGTTCGGACATGGTGTTTGTTGAGACCGCTTGAAGCTCTTGAAACTTGACAAGTCGTCTCTTCAACGATGAGGCCTTACTGACGTTTGCACTCAGTTTGTTCTCAGTCGCGCAATGGCGAGTGCTGTTTGAAGACCCGTACCGGTTGTTTCATGGCTGAAACGATGGGAGGATGCAGACCACGTCGCTGGTTGTGGACGAATTCAAATCTCGTTCTGCGTGTCGCCGGACGCACCAGACGAAGATTTGTGACGCCCAGCGTTGGTGCTGGCGGAAGCAGTTTTTTCTGCGAATGCTCTGGACGATCATGTCGCGAGGATGGCGAGTTCTGACCTTGTTGTCGATCTTCATTCTTCAGACGTTCTGTTTGTGAAAAAAAAAGTTTGTGGAGAGGATGGCCGGACAGTACATGACCTACTAGTATGTGCTGGAGTGTATACTCGTTACTCTTCGCGGTCCTTGTGCTTGGTGAAAGTTGACCGGTTTCCTGCAGAAGGAACTGTGTCCTGTGAAAGTGTGATGTTGATGGGTGCCTTTGCATCCTCAACAAATGACTGAACTGTGCACCGGTTCGGGTTGTGTACGGCTCAGAGGAGTCAGTTGGTCTCTGTGGATGAGGCGCCCGGATCGGTCAGTTGTAGCCAATTTCGGTTGGTGGTGATGAGCTTGCGTAGTGAGCAACGGAGAAGGGGACGGTGGTGACCATACAGGCCAGGATGGGATTCCTGGGGCCGAAGAAGTATGGTCTGCGCTTCATATAGGACGAGGTCCTAGAACTGAAGTGGAAAGGCTGTGGTGGGAGAGGATGATTTGGATCTGGATCCCACGAGCACAGTGTTGGCTGATCAGGGGACGCCCTGTGTCGAGGAGCCTGGTAGGCGAGACTCATCTGGGGATGATGAGTTGTTGCGAGTGAGGTCCCAATTTGCTCGTTACCGGATGGATTTTACTACGAGCTCTTTACCGATCTTGTGTCACAACTGTGTAGCACCATCGGATTGAGTGAATGCTTTATGTGCCTGGCACCTGGCGAGGAATTGTATTTTCTCGTGAGCAGTCAGTGATATTGTTCAGTCGTATGAGCCCGATACGAGTGATATGCTGTATTCGGCTGATGACAATGGTGTTCGCACCAAAACCTGTGGTGGATTGGACTTGCATCCTGCATCTCTAGTTGACTTACCTATTGTATTCGTCGCGGAGCCTGGTGGATGACACTGGCAACGTCGCGGTATCTCACCGACTACCATATCGGTCGAGGATAGTCACGGGGACGTGATTCTTCAACGGCGGGGGAAATGTCACGTCCCTGAACGTGACTACTGCTGCCTGATAGTCCTGTGACAGCAGGATCTACCTAGTGAGCAGCTCTGTGCTGAGCTGTCACGCCCTTTTGGGACAATGTGGTTTGGCCAGTGTCTTGTCCCACGTGCTTAGCATGTAGGTTGAGCGACACGCGCTTTCCCACATAGGTGACATGCCTTCTTGGCATGACATGTCATGTGATCCAAGGCCGGAACCTGGTCAGGTAGGTTCTCGCGTTGTACGTTTCCTGGAAGTTCTTCACTTCCTGGAAATGTGACCCCAGGCTTTGTGCAAAACCACGTCACTACGACGTTCTACAGGTTTCCACGATGCCTCGGCGCTTCGTGCAAAGAGCCAAGACTAATATGACATTGTATAACAAGAGCTAAGTGCAAGACAGGAGACGTGTGCAAGAACCAAAACTGTCACCGCAGTGACCGCACGAGAGGTCAGAGTATCACGCAAGCAAGACCAAGAATGCAGCAGAACTTACCATAAGAAGCCGCTGAACTATGGCACGTTGGGTGAGCGGGCTCCCCAACGTGACCCTCATATACTCACATTGTACTCTGACGTGGGTGAGCGGGCTCCCCACGTCCCAATTTGGTCTTTCTTCTCTCGATGTCTTTCTTTCTCTTTCTTCTCGAATGATCACCGTACGTATATTCTGCATTTCTGCTGACTGGCTGCGCACATTCCGGTTTGACTTGTTCTGCTATTTCCTGGAATTACCTCGCAATGATCATGCCATATATCTCTGAAACACCCTATAAAAGAAGCTCTCATTCTCTCTTTTACTTCAGTTCTAGTCTAGTCTAGTCTAGTCTAGTCTAGCAGTCGAGACTCGGTCTCAGCTCTCTGTCTTCGTTTACTTTGAGCTCGGATTTGATACTACTCACAACGTAAAACTAACAGTCTCTGTCTGTTGATCGTGTGGGGTTGAACTTGGACCAAGCCAGCTATATTGGTTGGCCCCTGGGTTGTGTTGGGCTTGTCGTGAGGCCACACGTCTATATTCAGTCGCCGCTCGTAGTGATTTCGGGGTCCGGTCACTCTGAGCCGGGGATGCGACAGTACTTCCAGGCGAAAGTGACACTGTTGTCTGCCTTTACCTGTTTTGTGAATTGCAGCTGACATGCTGAATGTACCGTATGTGCCACTGAATAGGCCGAATATACGTACGTGATGACGCTCTCGTGGAGCAACGACTCCACCGTATTGGACTTGAGGTTGAAATGTTTGCGATATTGAGTTAACAGACAGTGTGAACATTATATATAGCTCGTCGAGCTTCCTTATTGGTGACAACCCATAACATACATATACACCAAGCTACCAAGCTTAAAAACCCTCATCTACAGCAGCGGGGCTTACCTTATTTCACCGGATATAAGTCGCACTTAAGAAGGGGATTCGATTTACAATCGGATGTACATCCTACTTATGCGAATATATTGAAATAATTTCGCGCAAAGTGGGAGTACGACTTATAATCAAGTTCGACTTATAATCGGTGAAATACGGTAGCTTGTCTCCTTCTTGGAGTTGGAAGAGTGCGTCTTTGCTGGGCGTACTCTCGCAACGCATCCCTATCATAATTATCATTCCAATTGATTTTCCTTTGGTCTTCCGTTTGAGGCTAACACGCTTCATAGCAGCTGTCTCTTTCACTACTGCTGTCACTACCAGCATCACAGCACCTAACACTGTGCCACCGTCCTTTATTTTCTTTGCTTTCCTACACAAAACTAACTAACTGCCATCACTATGCTCTGCAATCTTAAGATTTTACTGTTTATTTTCCTTTGCCAACAGTTAACTAGCATGTACATAAGTCAGCTACGTGCAAGACTTGATAGTAGTCCTGTGCCAGACCAGTGTGCCTGCAGGCAGAGATTAAATTTATACTGCTGAATTGACTGTCAAAGCTTTCTTTTTAGCACGATCCAGTGTTCAATAGCTGCTGAAACCTGGTTTCCGATAATTACATGTACTTATTTTTTTATTTACTACCATTTGCTGCTAACAATAACAATTAACAACCACACAAGCCGACCTGTTTGGGAGCTATTACGCGTTGTATTATCAGGGCATAGGCAACAATTGCCGCATGCAGTATGCAATACTATGGACCAATGCCGTAGTATCGCAGGCAACAATTGCCGCATGCAGTATGCAATACTATGGACCAATGCCGTAGTATCGCAAGCACCAATGTGCGTTAGACTGGCCAATGCCAGGGCTAATGGGGGCAACAATTGCCCGGCGTGTCAATACACGCATACGGTAGGGATGCACTTGTGAGCACATGTAGGCGCACTTGGCTCAATGCCGGCCTGACCCACGATCCCTACCGTTCTCCCTTCCGGGATGGCTTAGAATATAATGATGGTTAGAGATGATGGGGTGGGTGGTGGTGCTCAAAAACTGGCCAAGGTTGTCAAGCGATCTGACTGTTGGCGCAGCAAGGATGAAGAAGAAACAGCATCGAGAGCCGGAGTAATGCGCATGCTCCGCGTGGTCCCGTGCCGGGGCGCGGGAGTTCGGAGTGCGTGTTCTGCACGGGCACGTGATGCGCTATGGCAAGTACGTGCAAATTATGTTAGGAATGTAATTGTTGGTGGGTTGCTAACTTCACTTACCGTGCCATGCACGGAAACTTATATTTATCATACAAATTGATCTCGCCAATAATGATTATTACGCTTTGCATACTGTGTGGTGGACTTGGTATATGCATGGGTCAAACATTTACTGAATCCTACCCTGGCTACACTCAAGCCGGATTTCTGCGGGAAAGTTGCCAGCGCAGCGCAGGGCTCTTGATATGCTTGTTTTATACCTAAGTCATCATAAACTTCATAAAAAACAGCCCTTTATCGCTCCATATATACTGGCACACACAGAGACAGATAGCAATAGCGACAACACACCAAGTGAAGGGTAGTTAGCCGCAGCCAGATGTGAACCGGATAACGAGTGAGGTATGGAAGCAAGGACTAAGAACAGAGTGTCTCAGATAGAATAGGCGTGCCAGTGGATAGCAGAAATAGGCCATGATGCAGAACCACTTGGGACCGTCAGATTCATTTTCCTGGACCGAGCTAGCCGGGGAAAAAACCCTCGCGCCGACGGACGCAGTTGTGAGGGAAAAAACCGGGTGTATATCCCCAATGGCGATTAGGCATCATGTAGGTATGGCAAGCACACACCAGATGCCATATTTGCAACTAAAAATATTTCGCGAGAAATCATTTCTCGCCTATCTCGCTGCGCATGCGCTCGGCCGGCGAGAAATACAACTATTATTACTTATAATACTTGTTCTGATCTAGCTGTGCTGGTGACCAGTCATGTGGTATGTGTGATTGCCCGCCGGATAACTTCGCTTCTGGTGCGTGACGTACAGATCTTGGCTATACTGACGTGATCGGTCAGCTGGCCTGACCATACACACCACACACACACACACACACACACACACACACACACATGTACACCCACGCACCACACGTACACGCATGCATGCGCAGACACGATTTAAAGTGCTGTGGATCGGGGGATGGACCTGAGCTACGCATGACGCTACTGCACACCGTCTCTTACGTAACTTCGGTAATAATAATTGTCAATGTTGGAATGCGCCCATGCAAGTGCGTTTGTAGGATACCATTATGTCTGGGAGACAGTTCTCTATTACTATTTGCATACTGCTTTTTTTATGCTCTGCATGCATAATTGTAGCCAGAATTTCCATCTTTCAGTGAATTTCTTAGAAATGTATAATAGCAGCAGTGCATTCATATTTTCCTAGGGATTTTATGCCCTCATCCTACCATTAATATTATGCGTCTGCATCTGCAGCTTGACTTGATTTTTGGAGTGTATGTATGTGGGGATGGGAGGGGGGGGGGGGACAACAACGCAAATCTTCTCTATTTTTCTTATGCCGGTAATGGGTTACACGGAAAAGATTACTGTGTCTGTCCTGAATTACATAGGTGCACCTACATGTGAATGTAACATTACCAGAATAGGAAACAAGCTCCATTGCTAGATCCACTATAATATTTATTCTGATTATAATCGATTCAAGTATCGTAAAGCGAGATTTTCTAAATCTTAAAAATAATAACAGTGTTGACAATGAGCCTTCATGAATACAGCTGTCTCCTGGGCAAATAAGGAAATGAATTCGTCGTGGCCTTGATCTGCATCCAGAGGAGCTCTGCTTTTATGCAACTAGACCTATGTCGGATCAGTCGGTGCATTTTGGAGTCGATGGGCATGCGTTATTCTTCTCATACTGCTGTTCCTGTGACTGTGCCTGATCAGTACGGTGTTCATCCTGGGTACCATGGCAACAACTAGGTCTGGATCTCAAGTGTACGCCGGGAGGCTCCAGCAAGGAAACATCCGGAGCAGATTGTTTATGCCACCTAGATGCAGTAGCGCTGCTGACATCAGTGTAAAACTGTGCTACTACCATTTGCTGCCAACAATAATAATTATCATACAAATTGATCTCGCCAATAATAATTATTTCGCTTTGCATACTGTGTGGTGGACTTGGTATATGCATGGGTCAAACTAAACCCTACCCTGGTTACACCCAAGCCTAATTAATTTCTACGGGATAGTTGCCAGCGCAGGGCCCTTGATATGCTTGTTTTATACCTTAAAGTCATCATAAACTTCATAAAAAACAGCCCTTTGTTCTGATCTAGCTGTGCTGGTGACCAGTCATGTCACCGTCAGACATGTGGTATGTGTGACTGCCCGCTGGATAACTGCGCTTCTGGTACGTCACGTACAGATCTTGGCTATACTGACGTGATCAGTCACGCGGCTCCTGCTGTCCTGACCATACACACACACACACACACACACACACACACACACACACACACACACACACTACTACTACTACTACTACATGTACTATCAATCAGCTACCCATTGGGGTCACGCCGCCCTCCACTCATAGAACTGAGCGCAAGGTGAGGGGCAGTGGCGCAAACAAAACAGGAAGTACAGCAAATGAATTGAAAAAAGGAAATCAAAACAAGCTGCCATATTGATGGAAAGGGACTCACAAACAGAGGAAGGAATTATCACAAACCAGATGAGCAGTCTGCTGTAGGTCCACTATAAGTATAACATGCAACGACTGAAAAAAGGAACAAAATAAATGTGAACATGATGTTCTGTTCAACAATAACGTCTGTACGCGTACTGCTTCGGCCTTCATGCACCAGGGAAGCACAATCTTGAGCTGGAGGGTGGGCACCGAACGTCCCACGAGGGCTCCACAAGACGTACTTTCACGAAACGACGAGGAGTATAGACACACACACACACACACACACACTTGTACTTGTTGCTCACTGCCAAAACTGGTCGCGCGGGTTTCACCAGGAGAGGGGAGAGAGACTCAAAAGGAATCTTGGGAAGATGAACCGCCCAACGACCGACACCCCCTAGGCCCTGAAATCTCCAAAACTCTGGGTGGACTTCAAAATGATCCCACTTATGGGCTCACCACACCTCAGTAAGTGGGTGAGGACAAGGTGCAGAAAAAGGATTTGCGGCATCAGGGTATCCGTCCCGGGATCCAACTGCAGTTACCCCTGCCCCCAGTGAAGGTAATACTTGCTACTACTAGTGTGGGTGGCTAAATCAGAGTGGATCTGATATAAGTGTCACTACACACACATGTACACCCACGCACCACACGTACACACACGCACGCGCAGACACGAGTGCTGTGGACCTGAGCTACGCATGACGCTACTGCATAACGTCTCTTACGTAACTTCGGTAATAATTGTCAATGTTGGAATGCGCCCATGCAAGTGCGTTTTTAGGGTACCATTATGTCTGGGAGACAGTTCTCTATTACTATTTGCATAGTGCTGTTTTTTATGCTCTGCATGCATAATTGTAGCCAGAATTTCCATCTTTCAGTGAATTTCTTAGAAGTGTATAATAGCAGCAGTGCATTCATATTTTCCCGAAGGAATGTTATGCCCTCACCCTACCATTATGCGTAGGGAGGGCCCGAATATGCTTGTGCATATTTTCGCATATTTTGGTCCTTTTGACACAAGGTCGCATAAAGTAGCAAATCTAGCATATTGTACCAAATGTAGCATATTATTTTGCTACAAGGAGCAACGAATTCGCATAATTATAGGGCAGATTGCGGAAATGGACAAGGAAACTTACCACGGCACGCTCGGTCAGGGAACACTTCCAAACTTAGCCCGGAAGGAAAATGCTCATCCAAACACGGGGCGAAAATTTGACCCGAGAAGAGAGTGTCCGCGACTCAAGATCGCATAAAGTAGCAAATCTAGCATATTGTACCAAATGTGGCATATTTTGCTACAAGGACTCAAGGAGCAAAGAATTCGCATAATTATCACTGATATCAGTTCGTATTTCAAGCATATTTCCAGCATATTTTTCTGCTTTTGTGTGATTTCGAAGCATATTTTTAAGCAAGTGACCAATATGCGAAAAGCATAATATGCGAAATTTTTGAGCATATTTGGGCCCTCCCTAGCCCTATAGCCTAGTGTAGATACATTTTCATCAGCAAAGTGGTTCCCAAGGCAACGCTCGAGGTGTGTGTTCATGAGCCTTATTTTTAAAAGGAGAACACTTCCTCTGTTTCTGATTCATTTTTTCCTTCTTGGGTTGTGCCTGTACTTGTATTTTCCAGCATAAGACTTGTGTAATGATAATTGTCATACCACCAAAAACAAGCGTACGCACAGGTACTTGTAAACACTTTAAAAAAAATTCAAAAGTAGCACGCACATGTATGGTAGTAAGCAAGGAAGTGAGTGGTGTTGCACAGCATAATAGCTGTCTTGGGTATAAAACTTAGAAGAGCAACTGTACTCGTCCAGGTGTATTTTCAATGATAAATGGAACTGCATACATGTATGTGCTACATGATAATAATTGCCACCATGACAGATTGGGGCAAGTAATAGGGAGTAAAGATCATATAAGGCTAGCAATTTGCGAAATGTGCAATTTGTATGGATCCTGCCAAGAGTAACGTACAGACTGAACGTTCTATTTTTTTAATGCACAATTGGAAAATATGACTTGTAACTTCTAATGAAGTGTTGCTAAGGAATAGTACAAAAATGCATGGCAATCAAGGGCACCAGCTTATTTATATGGTAGCTGCGCAAGCTCCAGCAACGGTGCCCATCGTACCTGTACATCTGTCAGTGTCGTAATGTGTGATCAAGGTAAAACTGAACTCAGGTCATTGCTCAACAAACTCAGTGGCTCTTGATGTCTCTCAATAATGATATAACGGGATTTCTAAGTTGATTTCTCCTGGACAGCTCCACACCACGGCATGCCTGCGTGGGAATATCAGCCGCAGGATCAGCAGGAATGTTCAGCTGCAACAGAATCATCAAAGTATGTAGCATTATAATCAAAGACAAAATGATGCTATATGCAGCAAATATTAATTAAACTTCCTCGAACTACAGTAAGTATCGTTTATAAAGTGACCGGATATAATGATATACCGGTTATAGTGATAGAACACGTCAAAATCAAAATCAAATCAGAAAAAATACAGCTAAAATATCACTATATACACTATTATCGGCTATACCGATATATCGCTTATTGTGATGGACTTCAGGAAGCAAACCATAATTATTATCAAATGTACA